TGTGCCTTTTTTCCCCCTAATGGTGGAAAAATAGTCTCATCAAAACGACAGTCAGCAAATCGTGCTTTAAAGACATCACATGTCAGAGGTTCAAGATATCTAATAATAGATAGAGAATCAAAACCAACATAAATTTCAAGTCTACGTTGAGGACCCATTTTAGTGCGTTGGGGTGGTGCAATTAAAACATATACAGCACAACCAAAAACTCGTATGTGAGAGATATCTGGTTGTTGACCAAAAACAAGTTGCAATGGTGAATACTTATGATAAGCAGTTGGTCGTATACGAACCAATGATGCAACATGTAATATGACATGTCCTCAGGCAGAAACAGGTAATTTTGTTCGTATAAGCAAAGAACAACTAATTATCTGAAGTCTTTTAATAAAATATTCGGCTATACCATTTTGAGTATGAGTGTGTGCAACAGGGTGTTCAACATTAATTCCAACTAACATGCAATAATCATCAAAAGTTTGAGAAGAAAATTCAGCGGCATTATCAAGACGGATTGTCTTAATTGGGTAATCAGGAAAGTGTGCCCGTAATTTGATGATTTGAGCAAGAAGTCTAGCAAATGCAACATTATGGATAGAAAACAGACAAACATGCGACCATCGTGTTGAGGTATCAATTAAGACCATAAAATAGCGAAATGGTCCACAGGGTGGATGAATTGGCCCACATATATCCCCGTTAATTCGTTGTGAAAATGGGGGAGATTCAACAATAGCTTTTGAAGGGGATGGTCTGATAATCAACTTACCTTATGAGCAGGCTGTGCATAGATGATTATTTGGTAAGATGATTTTTTGATCATTTAGTGGATATCCATGTGAATTTTCAATAATTCGACGCATCATTGTATTCCCCGGGTGACCAAGTCGATCATGCTAAGCATAAAAAAATTTGGGTCACAAGATTTTTTATGTATCACAACATTTGACTCAATTGTCCTAATGGTTGTAGAGTATAACCCAGAAGAGAAAATATAAAGTTTTTCTAATATCGGCTTCTTGTATGAGATAATGGAAGTAATGTAGAAATATTCCACATTTATTTCATTTGCGGTCTCAATATGATACCCATTACGATGCAAGTCTTTAAAACTTAACAGATTTCTCCAAGATCTTCTAGAATATAAAGCATCATTAATTTCTAATCTTGTTCCACGTGGTAAAATGATGTTAGCTCGTCCGGAGCCTTCAATCAAGTCGGTGGGACCTGATATTGTACTAACACTAGCGTTTGACAAAGTTAGGTGTGAAAAATATTTTTGATCCCGAAAGATTGTGTGTGTCGTTCCATTATCTGTAAGACATATATCTTTACTATTTATTTTGGAACTAATTCATTTCTATTCATGTAAATTTCTTTATTAGAAAAGAAAACAAAAGAAACTTTAATAGAAGAAAATAAAAATATGTTAAAAATAACATAATAGAAAGTAATAAAAAGAACATGAAATGAAAAATATGATTAATTGGTGTGGACATTTCCCTCATTAATCAAGTGGTCTATCTTTTCATCACGGTTTTCAAAAAAATCTGATACATCTAGATTTGTGATGTTAACTAGCTTATCATGATCAATGAAATTCATTTCTTTTCGTTTCCCCTTTTCTTTCATTAGGGCTTGATAAAGTTCAGCTAGATGCTTTGTTAATGCCCTGTCATTCGATAACAAGTATTATCATGTGTCATGGAAGGTTGAGCCAAATCCTTCCCTGAATTTTACCACAGCCATATTCATTATTGTGGCCATTTCTACCACCACGATTATGTCTATTATTATATCCACGTCCACATGATGAGGCAACATATGTTTCAGGGATCGGTGTCGATCCAATTGGACGGAACTGGTGGTTTCTTAACAAAGACTCGTTATTTTGCTCTGCCATAAATAAACATGATATCAGCTTTGAATATTTTTTCAAATCTATACTCTCGATATTGTTATTGTAAGAGTACATTCGAGGCATGAATGCTTTTTTCTTAACAAAAGTTCATCAATGATAATATCACCACGCAATTTCAGTGTAGAGCTGATTTTAAATAGGGTAGAGTTGTATTTAGCCACAATTTTAAAATCTTGCAACCGCAGTTGCTGCCAATTAACCCGAGCTTTTGGAAGGAAAGCTGATGATCATATCTTTCTTTCAACATTTTCCACAAACTCAGTGGATCTCTTTCAGTGAGGTATTCAGTTTTTAGTTCTTCACTAATATGGCGACGAAGGAAAATAATGGTATTCGCTTTATATAACATAATATGAAGTATTATAATTCCAGTATAATTAAACAACAAAGGCGATAAAACTAGTCATAGTGAATAAATTATTAATGAAGGCGGTAAAATCGGTCATAAATCATTAAATAATAAATGTGGTAAAACTGACCATAATTAGTAGATCATTAAATAATAAAAGTGGTAGAACCGACCATGTAAATTATTACAATAATAAAGACGGTAGAACCTACCATAGTGTGAGAAATACAAATTAAGATTTTATTACCCTTTCGAGTCAGAAATACAATATAGTTGAGATAGAAAGAGGGAGAGAGAGTTTTTTTTTTAAAATTTGAGATAGATAGAGCTCATAACGTCTTATGAATATATTTATAAATATATATGTATATAGAGTAATATTAAGTGAGAGAGAGAGAAAAAGCTTTCAATATATTCAGAGAGAGAAAATATAAGAAAGGGAAAACTGGAGAGAGAGAGAGAAAGATTGATTGCTTATCATTTCTTCATATAGATTGTATACACATAATGCTTATTTATAGGCCTTGTATTCGTGGGCAGCAAGCAGCTTATTGATCATACTGCCATTGAAAATGCTTCAATATGTGCACCAAATTTCAACTACAGAAGGACTCCACACATATGTAACACATATTAAATTTTCAATATAAAAATTAGCCATAAGAGTAAAACCCAAAGTAGCCGAAATTTTAACCTGGAATCTAAGCCCAAGTTGCAAGCCCAAATTTAAAAGTAAGAAGGATAAGTTGGACTCGGGTTGAATAGTTAAGGTTAATGATAGATTTAAAATTGGACTTGAATTTAACATTTCATATAATAAGGGGTAAAGTGCATTAAACCCCCTTGAATTATTGGTCATTTGCAAAAAACCCCCATGAATTACAAAAAACCCCCCTGAACTATGATTTTGTTGCAATTTATCCCCTTGAACTATTGGTCATTTGCAAGAAACCCCCCCTGAACTACAAAAAACCCCTCTGAACTATGATTTTGTTGCAATTTACCCCCCTGAACTATGATTTTGTTGCAATTTACCCCCATGACATCAGCTTCCGGTACCGAAATTTTGAAAGACCAATTTACCCTTATAACACGTACACTGCGTCGTTTTCACTTATACACTTCTTACTTTTTTTTTCTACCAAAAGATGCATTTCACCCAACACAACCCAAAACTGAGAGCTAGAGAGAAAGAGAGAAGAGACCAAAGAAATCCGAGGTCGGCGGGATGGCTCGGTCTCGGATGATGGCAGCTTGTGCGCGGAGGACTCGGCTATGATGAGAGCTCGGTTGACTTGGCCATGAACTGTGGAGGCGGCGGCGAGCTCAAGGGGGCTCGGCGGTGAACTGTGTGCTCGAAACATAGATGGCGATGTGCTCGGCTATGGAGATGGCGGAATGGGCCGGCGAGATTGGAATGGACGTTGGAATGGACCGGCGAGCAAGGTGAGCTGAACGGCGGGCAAGGTGGTGACAGCAATGGGCTGACGCAACGGTGCAGAAAAGTGCGATATATATGGCCGACGGATCTGGCTAGTGGTGCAACGACTATGATGGAGTTATAACAGGAGACCCACCGATCCCAGCAACAAATTCCTCGGCTTCATCGTCCCTTTCAATCAATCAATTCGCGTGGATGGGGTAAACTGCAAAAAACTATATAGTTCGTAAGAGTTTTTTGCACATACCCCAATAGTTCAGGGAGGTTTTTTGCAAGGGTTTTTTTTTTTTTGCAACTTTTATAATTCAGGGGGTTTCTTGCACATACCCCAATAATTCAGGGGGATTTAATGCACTTTACCCTATAATAAGTTAAGATCAAGTTATACCTCAAACCCACCCAACCCGCCCAAATTGTAACTAGTATATGATGTTTTAAATAAATTAATATGCTTGATAATGTTTGCAAAATGTTTAGAAACAAAAACATAAAAACTTGTTTTATAAAAAAAATTAATATAATAATCTTGTAAAATCATTTTAAAATTCTACTGTTGCCGAAATCCAAATAATTTGATATAAAAATATCATGATATTTCAACTTTTGACAATTTCACGAAGGTTACTCAATAAAACAAAAACATCAAAAACAAAATTAAAATAAAACAAAAACAAAAACAAAAACAAAAATACCCTTAACAGTTTGGAAAATTTTTTGTTCTTAATTTAGGAGGAAGAATTAAAGAGTAGAACAAACCAACGCGACAATTTTGATTTTAAGTGCTTTGATTATACATATATACATATTATCTACAAAAAGGTCATCCATCGAAAAATGTGGCTCCAGCTTTTACTTTCCTGTGTGCAGTATAAATTCATTAAAATTGCTTGTTACCAGAAAGCATCATATTCATTCCTCAAACCAACGAGACAATTTTGGAAAACATGCAGCAATTGATCTGTTTTAATTTTACCAAACCATTTTTATAGGAAATCCAGCAAAACAAACCCAATTTGTAAAATTGGATAAGAAAAAAAATACAACAATTGCTGTGAAAAATAATAAACAAACTAATAAATAACTGAAGTGGTGTGCATATATGTAGGCACCGATTGACGCAAACTGCTGGAAAGTTGAAGCAGAATGCCTGGAAGGTGACCCCCTTTTATAATAGAGAGTTGATGTAAGAGAAGGGCCTCTTAAAAAGGCTAAATCCTATGCCATTTCCCTCTTCTCCCCTTCTCATTCGTGTGTGTATATATATATATAATATAGTAATGTAAATGTATATATGTAAGAAGTTCGGTAAGCAGATTTGTCGATGGGGAGAGATTCTTTAAGAACCTCAAACAACAACCGGCCAGTAAACTTCTCATCCGTTTGATCCATATAGCTACAGCCACTTTGGCATTTCAAGATCAAGGGTACAGATCAGACCCTTCTCTTGGTACATGTAGCCTTTTTACACCACAATCAAAACACATCATGAAAACAAAAATCAAATTCTATGTCAAATCTATACAAATTTCACAAGAAAAAAAAAAAAAATAGAGATAGAAGCAGAGATACTTGTGTGTGTTTTTATATATGTACATGTTTGATCAGACAGAAACAGAGTCCTTGTGTCTCTCTGTTGGTTTATACATACCTACATGATTTGATCAGAGAGAAACGTAGTATTATGTTTACAAACCCTAACCTTAAACAAGTGAAGAGAACATATGATACACTAACCCTAGCAACTGCATTGCTTATATATAAGGTTGGAGAAGTTGTTTGGAAAGAAAAGATTAAATCCTAGCCGCACATTTGAGAGAGAACAATAATCATTTCCTGGGCCAACAAAAACATCGTAGTCTCTGTTTTTTTAATGAATCCAACTTTGGGCTTTTGTACAATGACTGGGCTGTAGTGGCACACTACTGTGGGCTTATTTAAGTTTGTTTGTAACTAGTGGAAATTTTCAGTCGATATACGATACCTCATTCCATTGCATCCAAACACTGTAAGATGATCCAATATTTTTCAAATGGCACACTCTTTCTGAGATCATTATTTGAAAAAGTAACTTGTGTACGTCATTGTTTTTCTACTATTTTGTTTTGATATATTTTTATAACATTGGTACGAATGATTTTTTAAATTTACCCTCTGTTTTTTTAAATTGGTTGGATATATAATCATATTATTTTTTACTTTTATTCTTTAATCTATATTAAAAAATTTAAAAATATAATACAAGGACAGACCCCTACAAATTGAAAGATAAACCATTAATATGTGACGTACATAATATTATAAATTTAAATTATTCGGCACTTTTTTCCAATTATTATTTACATGGTGAGAAAGTCTATTATTTTATTGGGTTAATTACAACGACACCTATGAGGTTTGTCAAATTGACAGTCATATACAATTTGACCCTTTTTTGGACAAAGAATTTTGATCCAAACAAGCCTTTAAAATATTAGAAGAGACGATATTGCCCTTCAATGTTTAATTCATTTTTACGATAAAATATCAGAACTCATGAAAAGTCAATTTTGCCCTTATATATAGATACTATTACATCAGCACCATAACATATAAATAAATATATATATATTTAACCAATCTGGCTACTTCCTTCCTTCACCTCTGCCACCACCTCATTCACATCCGCCGCCGCCGCCGCCTCGTGATCTGCCGTCTCCTCCTCTTGATCAGCCGTCGCCACTTTTGCCCAACAACAGCCGTCGCTACCTCTTCCCCAACAACAACCACCGCCACCATCATCTCCACCAACAAACAACCACCATTTCTTAACCACAGCTACCGATATCACTTCTTCTCATCCACAGCCACCACCATCGCACCGACACTAACCCACCACCAAACCAAAGCTTGTAATCCAACCACGATTCCCGACGATGGCAACGACCAGCGGAAGCTTCGACGAAGGCGCGTCCATCATACCAGACAACAGTGACGGCTATAGAAGAACGATGATGACGGTGGTGGTTCGATGCTGAGGCTCCGCCACTCCGACGAGAAGAACGTTGATGGCAGTGGTGGTTCGATTAATCACAATTTATATATTCATACACATATATATAGGAAGAAGATAGATTACAAGAATTTGGGGGAAGGAGTCCAACTCGGACGAGTCAACCATTGAACCATGCCGTATTGAACCCATGAAACGGGGCTTGAATGTTCTTGGTTTTGGGTCACTGGCACTCTAAGACGTGGCCGGTTTGTTCGTTGTAGGAGCTCATCGCTGAATCTTCTCTAAGTATTTATATAGGTCACTGATGTATTTTTCGAAGCTTGGCCAGCTGGAGATTCTCTGTGATGATGTATATGTTGGACACGTTTATTCATTAAACGTGGTGTGACCTATATTCTCACACTATTCTAACCACTTACACTGACACAACGTTACTGGGAAGTTATAACTACGTGGTTTTTGGGAAGTTACGGTGGTTTAATAATAACTGCCATTTTGAGTCAAAATAAAAAAAAGGGCTTGTATGATGAATTACTTGCTTCTCGATTTTATTTTTTATAAAATCCTACAGAGGTCCCATGTCTAACAAGTACAATCTGTGTTGTCTCCATCAAGTACACGCATTAAGACTTGTATAAACGTGAACGTTATTAGGATTTCTCAATTTGTTTTGCAGGCATTAATCAATCTGATTTTATGGCTGGAGGTAATGCGATCTCTTTGGACTTGATGGTTTCTTTCATTTGGTATCAGAGCGATACCTTTTAGCTATGCTGTCGTTCTTTTTTCTGGCCTGTAATATTTGTTTAACGGCTATGTCGCCATTGTCTTTTTGGCCTGTAATATTTCTTTTGTGTTCTATTTATTTTGTATTATTTTTGGTGGGTGTGTTTCTATCTGTAATATTTTTTCGGTACTGTTTAATCATTTGGTTACGTTGGCCGAAATGAAGTGGTAGAGTACTACACCTATACAGATTGTGATGAATAAAGTGTTCAGACCCGAGCGGTTTAACGACTGCTTTAAATATGGGAGAATCTCTTCGTAAATTCATACAGTGGGTATAACGTTTTCTTTTTTATGGTAAAAGTGATTCAGACCCGAGTGGTTTCATGACTACTTTAAAAAAGGGTGAATCTCATCATAAGACCATAAAAAGTTGTTTTATAATGAATTTTTATTTTTGCAAATTACTCTGAAGTTGTATAGTTTTGGAAATTTCTATACAAATGAAGAATACTCCAGAGTTATACAGTTACTGCATATTAAAGAAAATTCATGTCTAGTATATTCTCATACATGCAGTTTATTAAAGTATGAGTATTACTATTATTTTAATATGTATTTTTAACCAGAAAGTAGCCACAACATCTTTGGTAGTTAGTTTTGTGATATATTAAAAAAAAAAATTAGTTTTAATATATGATATTTATATCACATAAAGATTATCCATTAAAAGGTTTTAATTCATTCATAAAAAGTGTTTTATTCTACCCTACAGGGAAATAATCATTGTTTATGAATGAATATGGATAAAAATGATTTTGGAATTAAACTGACAATGAATACAAATGCCCATAAGACTGTATCATTGTTAGTTTAATATCATTAAAGCATATTTTATTCCATTATGGTTTTATTTTTAAAAAAACATTATTGTATTAAAACCTTTACCCACGGGAAGGTTATAATGACGCATTGTTTTGATATGAAATTTTTTAACGTGGGTTAAGAATTTCAATAAAGTTTATTGTATAGTAAAGTAATGTTTGACATGTTTTCTTTTTGCAGTAATTTCATCTGGTTCTGTTAATATTGGTTCATCTCATATTCCATTTTTAACTGGTAATAATTATTCGGATTGGAAGGAGAAAATCCTTCTAACATTGGGGTGCATGGACATTGATTTGACACTTCGTGTGGATGAACCACCCATCCCCACGGAATCAAGTACGCCAAGTGAAAAGGCTTCTTATGAGAGGTGGGAGCGATCAAATCGCTTAAATACGTGTCTCATTAAAAGTCCTGTTGGGAAAAACATAAGAAGTTCAATTCATGGAATGTACTAAGGCAAAAGAATACATGGCAGCAATTGAACAACAATTTGTAAGTTCCGATAAAGCATTGGCTAGCACCCTAATGACCAAATTATCATCAATGAAGCATATGGGTAATAAATGGGTCCGTGAACATATTATGGAAATGAGAAATATAGCTACCCAAATGAACTCATTGGAGTTCACTTTTTCAGAGACATTCATTGTCCAATTTATACTCAACTCCCTGCCTGCTGAATATGGGCCATTTAAGATTTCTTATAACACACATAAGGAAAAATGGTCAGTTAATGAATTACTTACCATGTGTGTTCAAGAGGAAGGGAGATTGAATCAGGAGAAGCTAGAAAGTGCTCACCTAGCGACTCATGGAAAGGGACATATCAAAAAGTGTGTGCAATTTAAGAAGAAGGGGAATGCATCAACTGGCAAAGTTGACGATAAGGGTACCATCAAGTGCTTCTTCTGCAAAAGGAAAGGGCACATGAAAAAAGGAATGCCCTAAGTATAAGGATTGGTTGCTTAAAAAGGGTAATCTCTTTTCCTTTGTGTGTTATGAATCAAATGTAGTTAATACATTTAATGATACTTCGTGGATTGATTCTGGTTCTACAATTCACATTGCAAATACCATGCAGGGTTCAATCAACCTAAGGAGACCGACGAAAAGTGAACGTTTCATCTATTCGGGAAATAAGATGAGTTCACATGTGGAGGCGGTTGGAACCTATAGACTCACCTTACCATCTAGCTCTATATTGGAACTTGAAAAAACTTTTTATATTCCAACTTTTTTCTAAAAATTTGATTTTTATTTCGAAACTTGTTGGATTTGGTTTTAGTTTTAATTTCTTTAATACTTCTTTAAGTATTGTAAAAGATTCTGTTGTTATTGGTAATGGTATTTTGATTGATGGTTTATATAAATTAGATTTAAACCCTGATATTGATCATAACCACTTAACCTTGCATGGAAATATTGGCATCAAGCGTAAGGCTAAAACAGAGAAATCTTCTTCATTATGGGATAGGAGATTAGGACATATCTCCTTACAAAGAATTAAAATATTAGTAAATGATGGAGTATTTGATACTTTTGATTTTTTTGATTTTGGTATTTGTGTAGACTGCATAAAGGGTAAGCTGACTAACATAACCAATAAGGGTGACAGAAGGAGTTCTCAAGTTTTAGAGATCATACACACTAATATATGTGGACCTTTTCAAATTTCATGTATCAATGGTCAAAAATATTTTGTCACCTTTATTGACGATTGCACACGTTTTATGTATCTTTACCTTCTAAATGATAAAAGTGAAGTACTTGATACTTTTAAATCATATAAGGTGAAG